GGGTTGGTAAGAAGAAATATTGTATATTTCAAGTTTCAGATGAAAAATACCTGGCTCCTGACCAAAAGCCAATTTTATCAGGAGAATTTTGTTGCCTTGATGCCTATAAGTGCTACAATATATTAAATCAAACATGCCAACACTAAAATGAAAAAATTTGTTCTCATAAATATTGATCAAGCTATTCACGGAGGCATTAACAAATGATTTTGCTAGATCAATTTGTTAAGCAGGCTTTTCAACATTTAAAACCTGATATATAAATTCACTAGCATCTTTAAAATCAAGTTTTGGGAATCACATAGTCTGGAAATATTTATCTAAATAATCTTACAAACTTCATGTTACAAATTAATATCAATCACACATCTTACCATTTTATATAGATGCATCTATCAAATATTGAATACTTGTATGGCTTATGTGCTTCTAAATGGGCCCATATATATTTCCAGAAATATATTGATCCATTCAAAAACAAAACATAACTAGTGATATTTTATAATCAATTTTCTTTGAGAACAAGCAGCACATACGAATTCTTAAAAATGTTGGCTATTCGGAAGAATCTTCTGGTTCTTCAATGGATATCAATACATAATCTTCAATAATTATATAGTTTAAGATAATCAAACAAGTCATGCCAACAATAAATCAAATTATATCAGTAAACTTCTGGTTTACTGTACCATGTTTCGTTACCAATAATAAACTTTTCAATATAATATATGATTGATGATATCCATTTATGAAAAATATATTCAATATCAACTCATACTTGTATTCTAACAGTTTTCTCCTTCAAGATTGAGTCATTCAAACATGATTCCTTTATTCATATATTTCATAAACAGCTGCTAGCATATAATAGGTCAAAGCCAATAACCTATCTTTTGCTCGGAAGCCCAAGTACTTCCTAGTTCATATATAGTTACGGACTTTGATCCAATTATACTATAACATTTACACTCTTTGGAGAACCAAAGCTGTGATGTAGATCTATGGGTCATATTTTTTACTATCAATACTTTGTCTGCTCATAAAGAGAAATCAGTATTAGTTCTTCTGGAATTATATTAATACTATTACATCTAGTTCTTCAAGAACTATATAATTTAAGACGAATATGAAAGACAATTTTATTTCAATATATCATTAACATAATAACAAATAATTATGAGTATCATAGATTTAACTTGCAATACACATAGAGAACACACAAAAATGATGAAGAACATTTAAAATGAACTTTTAAAAATAAAGTACAAATAATACTTAACGTTCAAAACTTCTCAATATTGATTAAGGTACTATAGACATTTAAAATGTTCAAAACTAATATTGAATCAAATCATATAAATAAGATATAAATAAACAAAATATAACTAGTAACTCTTGAGTCTATTTGATCTATTTAGTTTTATACACACTTATCAATATCACAATATCAAATTGTTATAACAATTTGTTTATCACAAATCACAATAAATTTAAAGACTGACAAATATTATACATATAGCCTTCTAGGCATATACTTGTATGTTTTCTATTTTTATATATATTTTGGGCATTTATGTTTCTTCACAATTTATTACCTTCAGGCATTAGAATTACCTTCGATATTTTCATAATATCTCATGGTCTTTTTGATTCCACAACCATTTTTTTAAACATTTGCTTTTCAATTAATTAATACATATTTGTCTATATGACTTCTGGTCATATTATAATATTTGTTCATAATTTTATCATATTTATCATGGGGCTATTACTAATTCTTCTGTTATGATTCAATAGTCAAGCCCCAAGATTATTGCCCTTTTAGTTATCAATTTAACTGATATAATGTGATCATACTCTTTATCACTCTTATGGATATATTCCTTGCTTTCAATAGCATACCATCATTTTTCTCAAATATTAGTCTTCCAGACTATAACAAAATTTTCAGAACTACGAAGTTCTTTTGTATCGTGAGTTTTTAACCATCAATCTTCAAGACTTTGATATATATTATCAAATTGTGACAGTTTTGTCATGCCATCTATTACTACCACAAGATGGTCTTTTATCAAATAATCATCAAAACGTGATGTGGCTTCTGGCCATCTAATCACAAAATCAAGAATATAATGGCTATTAGCTATTCATTTATATGTTTAACATTCTACTTTCCAAGATAACAATTAACCAATATCAAAGATGATAATCATATATAGTAATAAACATAAACCTCATAGCAAATCAAGAAGTATTAAGGATAGTAGGATCATAAAAATATAAGAAAAGTAAGAAATAAAAATTTTATATCTCAATACGATAAATAAAATATTCGGTTGCTAATGAATCGATATGGTTAAGATGCAAAACCATCATTTCCTCTAAATAAATTGGAAAATCTTACCAAACTGTTCGGATCAAACTATCTTCATTCAACGAACAAAACTTCAACGTGCATCAACTAGGAGCCATGAATTCTGATGGTAGAGTCTCGTGCTGATAACGTGTTATGAAATTAACCAACAATGAAAATAGATTGGAGAAGAGAAGTAGACAAGAATATAGGAGAATAATATTGTATTCCTTCACTTGCTTCACTTGCATCACAATACAATGGCATGCCTTATTTATAGGCATACTCTTACACATAAGTTACATTTGTACTTAAATGAAAGATAGTGGACAATAAACCACATGAATATGAGTGGGGGGAGTTACAAGATTAAAGGCATAGTGGAAAGGTAATGGAGTAGTGGAAGATTAATGCCTAATGGAAGTAGTGGGAGTTGATGATGAAGTTGAGAGGAAGGAAGAGGAAGAAGAGGAGATGGACATCCACATGTTATAATATTCATAACAGTTTGCATATTGTTATGCATTTGTTGATTACGGGGATTCAAGTATTATATGATTTATTATTTGACATTATTATACTGTACTGGGGTGTTGTACCGTCCTTATCAAACAATTTGGGTTACATGTATGTTGTATTTAGAAGAAATAAATAAGAAAAAATCTCATGTAAATCTTTTTCCTATTCCATAGCAAATATTCCCTCAAAGCAAATTGACATGCCGTTAATGCAATGATAATTGACGATATAATCGGTATACCGTCAAACAAAGACACACGAAAACTTCGAAAATCTCTGTCAAACAATTCTTTAGTTAACATTATTCGACAAAGTTATAAAAGTCAAAATATAATTGTAATCACCTAATAACCTTTCAAGTCAAGGCTAGTAAGTAAGACGCTAACGCATGTTAGAGTTGGCTATAGTCGAATAATTAATTGATCAACATTGAAAAAAAATATCTATACATCAATTTTTCTTATTCGTTGAATAGAAAAAATGCAACTGAAAATAAGAATGCTTATGTAATAAGCATCATTCTTATTATACATTGTTAATAAGAATGGTACCTCTCACTTTATTTGTCAATGCCACAACTTTTCTCTTCCCCTGCACCATACCAAGAGCCTGTTTGGTTGGAGGAAAATCCTGCGCGCGAATGGGAAATCAAAATTTTTCACTTCCAGCGAGCTCTTGGCTCGAAGAAATGGTGGGAAACGATTGATTTTTCTTTTAAACATACGAAAAGGGGTTCCCACCAAAATTGGTGATTACCAATTTTCATTGCTCGCCTCAAATGGCCGATGACCCACTTATCGTTGAAATGTTGATTAAAGGGAAGATCGTCGTCGTCGTCGTCGTCGTCGTCTTCATCGTTGTGTTGAGAGAGAGAGAGAGAGAGAGAGAGAGACCACTAACTCATCCTTCTTCTTTGCTGATGGCCGACAGGACTGCTCTAGAGAGAGGAAAGATGACGACGGTGGTCTCTTCTTCTTCTTCTTCAAGTGCGACAAACCAGAGGAGCGAAGTGAGAGAGAGCTAAATGAAGACATCGTTGCTGAGTCGGGAGGCCAAAGATTATTGTTGCTTAAAGGAAAACTGGAGCAATCTTCTTCATTCTTCTGCTTATTCTTCTTCTTTCTTTAACCCTCTTGGTCTCGTCCTCTCATCCTCGTCCCAATCCCTCAATATGTTAGTCACACACTCACTTCAATTGTGCAAGACTGTAAGTATGCTCATCCGACATCTCATTCCTTAGGCATGCGTGGCACGGTTTTGGAGTCTGAGTTTTGGACTGCTGGTAACATTTGATCAATGATTGATTACTTGCTTAGCCATGGCTTTGGTTTTGAGTGTTGGTAATGTTTTACTTGAATTCCATCTACTGGATAGATCATTATAAATAATCTATCAGCTTAGATATTTGTAGATTGCTCGAGCTTTTCACAAGTGTAATGAGTGTTGATTACTTGTCAAGTATATATAAGCATTATCAAGTATATCAAGTATATATAAGCTATGTTCATTACTTGTCATGAGTGTTGATATTATGTCACCCTTTTTTGGGTTAGAAACTTACTCTGCTTGCAGCCGGGGGGGGGGGGGGGACAGAGCATGATAATAAAGTACTCAAATATGGCTCAGGTCACTTGCAATTTTGTGCGAAAGTCGGATATATCATGCCAGAAATTGGAATTTGTATCGAGAAATTCCAATTGATGACAGTGAATTGAAATTTGCCAACACAAGTTCCAATTTACATTAATATATCCCATTGTTAAAATGACGAAACGCAATTGTGATTTATTAAATGCATTTCAATTTTGCGCATATACTTGGCGAGCACAGTGTAATGTTGTCCGTAAATTCCAATTTCCCTATCATTTCAATTGATATTAATAAAACCACATAACACGAAGCCAATTGGAATCTATATTAAATTAATTTCAATTTTGCATCCAAACTCGGATCATGATGCAACGTTGTTCGTTAAATTACAGTTTGCTCCTTGTTATTGTTACCAGAAACAGGGCAAATGTAAAAAACAAGCGCTTTCAGTGTGGGGATATATTAATTTAAAAGCATATTTTTATTTAATAATATTATATTTTTTTCATTGAAGAAACGTAATATTTTTAGCAACCTATTTTTCATCTCAGTGCATACCAGACAGGCTCTCAACCGAAAGAAATGTCACGTTTGCATATAAAAGCTACAACAAGCAAAAACTAAAGAGAGGGGGAAAAAAAAAGATGAACGATTGAGAAATAAGAGTCACATTTAAAAAGAAGAACATTATGAGAACAAATTAATGGGAGGAGCAAACTCTCACGTTATCTTGCCCTAATCACATTAAACTAATCAAGACTAACCACTCAAATTAAACCAATGAAACAAAGTAAAACTTAAGAAAGAACATTAACAAAATACTGTATTGTACTAATACAATGTTAAAATATAACTACAGTGTCACGACTTGGTCTATAAATATAGTTTTAATAGGACTTAATTTAAGTGTCAACGCTTTTTGCTTTTAGCAGTGACTCATTACATGGCTCCTAGTACCACTAAAAGTCAATTTTTCCAATGTTTAATGTTACATGGCAAAACTCTCGGGTATCATTCTTATTATACTACCTCTTGTCTTTAATATAAGATCTTATTTGATTTTTATTTTAGTCATAAATATAAGACCTTAATTTATTTTGTCTCTAATATTTATACATTTTTTTCAAAATAATCATTATAATAATGATAGTTCTAACTAACACACTTGAATAGTAAAGATATTTTAAGGAAAGACTATTGGTAGTATGTTTATCTTTAGGAAAAGACTATTTATTACAAATAACTAAATTAACTTATTTTTTAAAAATTTTTTAAATAGTTAATTAGCTCTTATAATTAAGATTGAAGGTAGTATGTTACTAATATGAACCATGAATTCCGGTCAAAAAAAAATCGTGCGTTTAAATTTACCAATGCTATATAAACATAAAAAACCTTCTCCATACCCAACATCAGGTCAGGATGGCCGAGTGGTCTAAGGCGCCAGACTCAAGTTCTGGTCTTCGAGAGAGGGCGTGGGTTCAAATCCCACTTCTGACAGTTTTGCCATTTCTTCCACGCATTTTGCAACATTCAAGGCCCAAGTACAAATCAAAATAGATCCATTTTGGTAGTCCGCCAGCATTAGGGGCCCATGATGAATCCTTGCCTTCAATGCTAAGGAGATAAGGGAATGAGATGTTGAAATCAAAAAAACATCCCATTACCAAAAAGATGGCTATAGTAAAAATAAGAAAAAAATTGTTTAGCATCCAATGATATCTTGAATGAAATTACACTTTCAATTAAGCTTGTACTCTCCATTTTTCATTTAATTAATAATTAGGTTTAGGACTAGACTCAAAGCCTGGCTATTCGGGAGAATCTTAAAATTACAATATTTTAATTTAAGTATCTAACATTTCAAGATAACATAAAAGAGAGTAAATCCAATTTAGGATTTTGAAATTCAAGACCTTTTGTTTTTTTAAAAAAAAAAAATTTGAACCCCTCACTAGTAATTGTTTAGTATCCAATGATATCTTGAATGAAATTACGATTTCAATGAAACTTTTACTTTCCATTTTTCGTTTAATTAATTAGGTTTAGGACTAGGCTCGAAAAGTGGCTATTTGGGAGAATCTTAAAATTATAATATTTTAATTCAAATACTTAACACTTTAAAATAACATAAAAGAAAGTAAATCCAACTTAGAATTTTGGAATTCATGACCTTTTATTTTTTTAAAATTTTGAACCCCTCGCTAGTGGCATTTTTTCAAAATTTTCTTTTAAAATTGAAATATTGTAATTTCAAGATTCTTTGTTGGGAAATTTTTTCTAATTCTTTTAAAAGTGTGGTTATATATAATTGTCCCTTTTCAAAATTTAAAACAAAAATCATATAAAATATAAGATAGAGATAGTTTGTATTGAATTTTGGACAAACTTCATGCATAAAAAACTTTAGAAGTCCTAGATTCATTTGTAGTATGTCGGCTACATTTCTCCTACTCGATTTTTCAATGCAACCTAAAAATGAGAAAAATTCTTGCAAGATTGACGTGCTTGAATATTTAAATATGAGAAACTGCTTGGGTTTTAATGTATCTGAGAAGTTATACTCATCTGATACTTGATATAAGACCTATTTAACTATTTTAATTAAATTAAAAAACTTAATTAAATGAGGTAATAATCATAAATATGATATATATTTTCCAAATACCCTCAGTAAAAATTTCTTTGAAAAACTGACATTTCAAAAAAAATGTTTTAAATTATTTTATTAAAAATATCAAATGGTAGAATTGATGTATATATGGAATTAATGAGTAATAAGTACTCCCTCACTTTATAAAATATATAGGTGTATTATCAAAGAGTAATAAGTATTATTATGGTATTTAATTTATTAATTGGTAATTTAGAAAAGAATTGATAAATATAAGAAAC